AGTGCCCTCTGCTTTGATCTTCTTTTTTTGTTAGCGCCCAATGGCAACAGCAGGGGGGCAGTTCAAGTGGGTGGCAATACAGGTGGAAAACATGAACCATTAATAGCAGTTAGTCATACATCACGAGGCCAATAGGAGTCCAGCCCTTGCTCTCATGTGCTCCTAGCAGTCGGCTCCTGGGGAGCTGACCTGCAGCAAACCAGAGTACTGCTTTTGAGGGCCTTACTCCTGGGGAGGGATGCAATAAAGAAATGGCTAATGACGGAGTCTGAGCAGCTCTGACTCCATTCACTCATCTGTCTTTAGGGGAGTGGGTGAGCGCTGGCACCAGAGAGAAGCTGGCTATAGAGAGATTCATTTGGGACTTTACCACAGGAAGAGTCTGCATGAAATAGCCCTTCCTACCTATCGCATGTGCTCCCTCAAGTGTTCACAGCCCAGTCTGCTGCATCAGTGACTAAAACAGGCTCTAGCACTGTGGGCCCTGCAGACCTGCCCAGCCATGGAGGAAGGAGTTGTAGACTGTTCCTGAGGGCCAGCTGCATGGAGCTCAGTATATCTACTTCACCAGGATGAATACCTGCGTTATCTCTTGGCGTTGTTCTGTGTATTACCCTAGTGCCTAGGGGCCCTGACTGAGATCAGACTTCATTGCTAGGCAATACCAGACACACAGATCCTGCCCTAAAATGTCCCTGGCTTAATTAGATATAGGGGTTGAAGGGAAAAGAAAGATTAATTAACTTCTCTTTGGTCACACAGCAATGCCAGACCTCACCACTGGAGCATGCCAGGCCTGAGAGGGGTAATTGTGATGCAGCTGCTCCCCCAATATGTATGAGGTGCCTTTGTCTATGGTAAGACTGCTTTGTCTCCCTTTACAGCTGTGACTGATGCGGCTCAGAAGACCCTGAGTAAGACACTTTGCTTATATGATTTATTGGTGCCTTCAAGAATGAATGTAATCATGTTTCTAGCTTGTGTATTAAAGTTGCATCAGGAAGATGAGGCCACATTGAGCTTGTTATATGTATAAATATTCCATGCTTGAGTGAGAAGTACAGACTTCCTTGGAATGTATTTACCTTGTACGATAAGTACTTGGCAAGATACGCCCTAGCTTACTTGACATAAACTCATTGGATTGGCTGGCACCTAAAGCCAACCGCAAAATTTGCTTTGGGGTTGGATCACTCTCTTCTCCACCAATAGCAACAATTAACATCTCAGATACTGAAAGGCCTTGGATATCAATATCACCATTCCCAGATCCCTCAAAGAGCTCCTCCTGCTTTCTCTCCCCTTCCTTCACCCATTTAATCCTAGGATACTCTTGGACTGTGCTTATTTTTTTCCTTCAAGTTGAGGGGATCTGCTGACTCTGGCAAGGACAGGAAAGTAGCAAAAAGGGACTTCAGTAATTAGAACAGGTGGTAGG